CCCCCAAAACAAAAATCCTGCTAATGGAACACATATATTTTTTATTATATATTTTTCATTTGAAGTGCCCCCCACCCACTGTTTCTGGGACAGACTCCAGGCTCACCATGAACCCACACCGAATAAGTGTTTATAGAAAATGATGCATGGTATCTGATCCTGTACTTCAACCTGTAAGTGGACCCTTCTCACTGAAGTGGCTGTAGGGACGGGTCTGAGTCACCTGCTCGATGAAGAGGTCGCAGAGTTCCTGAAGCAGCACCACAAGGCGCGGTGGTGATCGCAGGGCCTCGCAGTGACACCACACCAGGCAAAGAACATGGAGGAGAGGGCCAACAAGTCGCTGCATATGAGGGAACTGCTTCTCCTGCAGCTGAGACACCAGCCGGACAAGTGGGCGCAGGTGGAGCTCTATGTCTCTGGCCTCCTGAAGAGCTTGAAGACAAACCAGGAGTGTGGAATGTCGCACAGATTCAGCTGAACTCAACTTATTTAGCCTCCACATTTATTCAGTCACTGTCCAAAACCATGCTTGAGAAAGCGAAGCGATTCATATATACTCAACATACTAAAAAATACTAAAAATAGCTGAGTAACTGAACATCAAAGTCTAGAAGTGAAGTCAAATGAAGGGGTAGAATAACACCTTTAAATAGGTATGTTGAGCTTTAGTCGGCCCAATAACATTTGCCATTAAAAAAGCAAAAAAAAAAAAAAAAGTGAGAGAGATCTGTTTCTTAGAAACCATTTCTCAAGATGTTGTTGTGTCGCTGTATCTACGATAACGACCCTCCTTGGGAAACGTCCTGCCAGCAGGCTCAGTTAGGTGTGACATCAGAATGCCAGTGACCTTCCCGCTATGCCTCAATCAGTGTCAGAACTGCTAATCAACCATGCTTTGCTGTAAGAGTGAAACTGAGCCATTAATTGCTTACTTACCATAAAATACATCCATTAATGTTGTTTTGAAAGTTGGAAGGTAACTGCTCTCAGATACTTCCAAAATCTCCACCATCTTCTGAATAACAGGACTCTGAAGCTAACACAGAAAATAAGTTCAACTCACCTGACAAAGTTGCAATCAATATATTGTCTATAATTTTGTGCACAGAGAGACACACCTGTTCATAAATACTTTGCATATTTTCCTTCCTAGATTTCCAGAATTCATATTCAGCATTTGGCCCCAGATTAGAACCCTTCTTGAGAAATGTCCTGGAATCTTCTTTCAAAACATCTCGAATCTGATGGGTCCAGTTGATGACCATGGACTCAATGACATATATCACTGTCCTGTTATGTCCATCTTGCCTGAAATATGTTTTGAAATAGAGATTCTTTTTAATGGTACCATGTTATTAGGAAGGATACCTTGCACTGAATGTAAACAACATACATCAGTCAGCTGATGTTCTTACACATTGAATCCAGAATATGAATGACTTTCAATTTCGGTTGTCACTGTGGGAATCGGAAGGTGAGTTTTTCCTGAGCAAAGGCCCCTCAGAATGGACACCTTCCTCTGCAAGCACTCCGCATGCTGACTGATATCTTGAGATACCACACGCGGCCACGTCCTGTGATTCCTCTTGTTTGTCAGCACTGGTACAAAAACCTTGGATAATGCAGACAGCAGATATGCATGCAGAAATATCATCAAAAGACTTCTGCTATTATGAATCTTCTTTCAGTGAGCTAAATCTCGAGTGATTTATGCTTTCACCCAAAATTAGGCGTTTGGGGAATCAAATTTTGAAATTTAAGTAGGCTGATTCCTTTTTGTCATCAAACAAGGCTATATGCATAGTAATACTGCTGTTATCAAATCAATTTAGTAAAAATTGCAAAATTTAATACGAAGTTTTCTAATTAAGTTGCTCATGGGCATGCATTGTATCTACAACCCCAGTTCCAAAAAAGTTGGGACATTGTGCAAATTGTGAGTAAAAACAGAGTGCAATGACATTATTCACAATAGAACATAGAAAACATATCAAATGTTGAAAGTGAGACATTTTGCTATTTCATGAAAAATATTGGCTCATATTGAATTTCATGATAGCAACACGTCTCAAAAAGTGGCCAATAAGAGGCTGGAAAAGTTAGTGGTACAAAAAAAAGCAACAGCTAGAGGAATAATTTGCAGCTAATTAGGTCAAATGGCAACAGGTCAGTAACATGATTGGATATGAAAAGAACATCTTAGAGTTGCAGTGTCTCTCATAAGTAAGGATGGGCAGAGGATCACCTGCACTGACAAATAATGGAGCAATTTCAGAAAAAGTTCCTCAGTGTAAAATTAATCATCTACAGTACATAATATAATTAAAAGATTCCAAGAATCTGGAGAAATCTCTGTGCATAAGGGACAAGGCTGAAAAACCACACTGGATGCCCGTGATCTTCAGGCCCTTAGGCAGCACTGCCTCACAAACAGGCATGATTCTGCAATGGAAATCACTAAATGGGCTCAGGAACATTTCCATAAAACATTGTCAGTGAATACATCCGCAGATGCCAGTTAAAACTCTGTCATTCAAAGAAGAAGCCGTATATGAACATGATCCACCGACATCTTCTCTGGGCCAAAGCTCATTTAAAATGGACTGTGGCTAAGTGGAAAACTGTTCTGTGGTCAGACAAATCTAAATTTGAAATTCTTTTTGGAAACCGGGGATGCCGTGTCATCCGGACTAAAGAGAAGCATCGCTCAGCATGTTGTCATCATTCAGTTCAATAGCCAGCATCTCTGATGGTATGGGGGTGCATTAGTACATATGGCATGGGCAGCTTGCATATCTGGAAAGGCACCATCAATGCTGAAAGGTATATCCAGGTTCTAGAGCAACATATACTCCCATCCAGATGACCTCTCTTTCAGGGAAGACCTTGCATTTCCCAACATGACAATGCCAAACCACACACTGCATGAATTACATCATCATGGTTTCGTAGAAGAAGGGTCCTGGTACTGAACTGGCCTGCCAGCGGTCCAGATCTTTCACCCATTGAGAACATTTGCTGCATCATAAAAAGAAAATTACGACACAGAATATCTAGGAGAGTTGAGCAACTAGAATCCTGTATCAGCCAAGAATGGGACAACATTCCTTTCCCAAAACTCGAGCAACTGATCTCCTCAGTCGCCAGACGTGCATAGACAGTGGTTAAAGAAGAGATGATGCCACACAGGGGTAAACATGGCCTTGTCCCAACTTTTTTGAGACAGGTTGCTACATGACATTCAAAATTACCTTATTTTTTCCTTAAAATGATACATTTTCTCAGTTTAAACATTTAATATGTTTTCTATGCTCTGTTTTGAATTTAATATCGGTTTATGAGATTTCCATATCATTGCAATCTGTTTTTATTTACAATTTGCATAACGTCCCAACGTTTTTGGAATTGGAGTTGTATTACTTGGTTGCCCGTGTTGTTAATGCCAAAATGAGTTTTCGCAAAGTCGTTCCATTAAATGTACAAACATGATATTGCGAGTTTAATTACCTGATCCACCGCATGCAACAACTGTTCCAGCAAGTACAGTGACACTACACCAAACGACAAGTATTCTCTGTAATTCACAGGAAGAAGGGTGACATCTTCCTTCTTCTGTATATAAACCCCGTTGACAGCAGAAGATGCCTAAAAAGATCAAACTTAATAGTACTTTGGTCCGAAAGGGCAGCTATTAACAACAAGTCAAATTACCAAACATGGGCGCGACTGCAACGTGACTGATTTAAATTCTAAAACAAACCGAAAAAACTCCAGATTTTAAAAAGTATATAGCCAACACGGAGTAATGCCTAACTTACCTGTTCACATGAAGTTAAAACACCACTCGACTGGATGCTGAAAATCAAAATCTTTGAGTTTTTCTCAAAAAAGTCTTGAAGAACTTTTTGACTGTTCTCCAAGGCTAAATAATTATCCCACGTTTCCGGTTTTATCCTTAGAAACTGGCATATTTTATTTCCAATAAAGCGGACTCTTTCGTCTTCTGCAAACGAAGGAACGCTTTCCTCCTCGTCGGACATTTGTTTACGTTTCTTAACACACTCATACGAATTTATGTATGCTATAGTTCAGACTTAAATCTAGCCCGCATGCAAAGCACTATTGCACTTGAGGAATCCCGTTATTTTACGCTGACGTTGACCCCGTTAAAGGACGCGCAGAGACAACGCGCTTCCTCGGAAAGAAGCAAAATTTAACTTGCTATAAAAATTGGGGGCGGTGCAGCGTCTGGTTACCAGGGCAACGACAGTAACTCGTAAATCTTGATGTTGGCGTATTGGGGGGCCGCGCGCCCACACCAGACAGAACAGGCAGCTATAGTCTACACGAGGGTGTCTCCTTCAATCCGAATAAGGCTTCTTATGCTCTTGAACACTGGTTTTAATCAATGGTCTATCTTAATTTGCGTCAGAATATATGCCAATAGAAAAATGAAAACACAATTAAAAGACGCATTTTTAAATGCAATACGATGTGTTTCACTTGAGTTGAACATCTGGAGCAACAAATTTCTTTTATAGTGTTAGTTTAAGTTGCAGTAAAAGATACAAACAATAATACCATTATTCACCACTCACAGTACCGTGCAGTTTCAGCGCCCAGTGAAATTCGTTCGGTACTTAAAATGGCATTTCAGCAGGGGTTCGCTTGTGAGAAAAGTCTTTAAAAAGAGGGCTTTTAAACTGTAAACAAGTACAAATCAAAATGTCCTAAATGTTGTCCTAAGTGTACAAAAAAATATAATCCCTCCCAAAAATTATGCCTTATGTTTTTATAAATGTTTCTCTACATAAGGGAACAATGATTGACAGTTTTTTATATATGATTCTGGGTTAAGCCTCCCCCCCATCACGACCCAGCAACAATAACCAGGAGAATTCACTGGAAAATGGAGGAATGGAATTGTGGGTTTACACTACAATTAAAATGTATCACCAAACAAAAGAGAACACAAAACAATCCAGTACTTATTAATTTAGTCACTTGCAAGTGATGCAGGCAACTTTTTTTTATTTTTTCATTCACAAAACACTTTTGTACAAATTTATTGTTTTAAAAACGTCAATAAATTGAAGCCTTTGAGGCTTTTTAGCAAAAAATACATATTAAACATCATGGAGAGAAAGAAAAGTTTTTTTTTGTTTGTTTTTAGAAAAAGATTTACAAATGAGATGTCACTAGAAAATATTAACTGTCACACAAAATGTTACCAAAGCCATTTGAATTATTTTGGTTTCAATTATTATTAAAGTTCAAACATGTGTAAGAAAAAGCCTGATAAATTGGGATGCTGTGGCCACACGTACAAAAGTACCACGAGATTTAAAACCGATAAATTACAATAAGAAATTAAACATGCTGCAGTCTCGTAAATTCCGTGTATCATACACTAAAATGTCAAGGCAAACGCGCAGATTAAAAAAGGTTAATCGTAAACAATAAATTAGCAACATACAGTCATCTACTGCTTCCCAATTATGAACAAGACTGAAAGAAAACCTGACGGTCAAGATCAATGCAGGAGAGATTTATCGCAATATGGAAGTGGCTGAGTGGTCTGCAACCAAGCAGGACAAGTGGCATCCATATTGCAATGGGAATTAAAAGGAATGACAGGGAGGACATACAAAAGGTTACGTTCGACATACAGTACGTTATTGCACACCTATTCCCTCAGATGTAACTGCAGCTTCTGTCGATTCGGACGCTGATTACCATGGCTTAGAGAGTACAGCAGCTACTTCGCAGGTGTATAATTAGCTATGAAAAGCTCCCTCCCACACGTAAGGGGGCACGATTGATATCTGTATGCGGTATATATTAAGGCATTGTAGTACATATGACGTCCTCAAAAAGGTCACAACAGACGTAAATAATTACATATACGTTTGTATATGGAAGTGCCCAGATATGTTATATACGTCGCACACACCTTTTATTCGGCTCAACAGAGCAATGCTTGTTTTCATATAACAAAAGAACATAATATCTACTAATGTAAACATGGTTTCAAGATTGTCTTTATATCACCCACAAAATGCATCAAGTAGTACAATGATATGGAAAACAACAGTATTTGTGAGAAGCCTGTCTCTCCACACATCTAACAAGGTAATGTGTGCTTTTAATGAATTTAAAACTCAAAATTTTTACTTTCTATAAAATGAAACAAGTTCTCCTCAACTCTCGCCCGAAGAGTTTTAGTAAGATTTTTTTCGATTCCCATCGTAAATGTATCATACTAGCTGAAGTGCCATCAGGAAAATCATAGCTTTACCGTAAAACCATAATTCTCCAAGATTCATTGTTATGTACACTTTCTGAACACTAAGATAAGGTTCCTGAAAGACCGCGTGAAAACAGAGAGGCCAGACGCACTTTACACCCGTGTCGTTGCCCGCAGGGCCGGCCCTAGGGAGACGATTCAGGTGGTATATGTGCGTCCGGAGGGCACCCCCCCTGGAAGTGTCACAATGCAGTCATTTCTAGAACTTGCGGAGGGTTGGCCAGAGTTTTGCCTCAGGCCCCAAAACTATGGACAAAACCCCATTTACCCACAAACTATGTTTAGCACCTGTCCAGGCCTTCAACTGTCCCGTATCGATCAAACAACTCTGCTCACTCTGCACCTGTAGCATTTTACCTGATTAATGGCGAGATCCATCCCATAATATGACCCCTACATAATATATCTCATGTTTTAACATTTGTAGTGAAATGCAGAAATACATTCGGTGCATAGAAAAAGATTCCATTTACCTACAAAATGACTTTTCTCAGCTGTACACTCAACCATCCTCTTTGTGCTTATCCAGCGCATCATATAAACATCTCTGTTTTTGCTATTGTTATTATTTTCATACTTTTAAGTCTTATAATTTATTTTCTCTAATGTGCATTGGTGTCTTTTTCCTTCCGTCCAAATCCTGAAAGGCTCGTGACAACTACGTGCAAAATGGTGAAGCAGGCCCCGCTTCTGGGTTAGTAGAGGTGGCTAAAAATCCTCCACGTTATTGGCAGTGTTCGGCGTGGCGGGGTCGGAATCCTGGGAGAGGGACACAGAGGCCACCATCGCCGGTGACCCGAGCACCTCACTGACGGTCTCCTCCATGTCCTCGGTGGTGACGATGGCCAGTGCTGCACTCCCTTTCTTGTTCTGGTGCGTCTTGATGTGCTTAGACAGGTGATCGCTCCTCATGAACCTCTTGGAACATTCTGGACATTCAAACCTTTTCTCACCTGCGAGCAAGACCAGAAGACGACAGTGTTAGCATTCAATTTACCAGGAGCTACTGGTCACAGGGAAACTCGTGTGTCCGCCTCTCGTACCCGTGTGTGTCCGCCGGTGTCGCTGGAGCTCATCGCTCCTGGTGAACCTCTTCCCGCAGAAGATCCAGTTGCAGACGAAGGGCCGCTCGCCCGTGTGCCAGCGCAGGTGCGCCCGCAAGTGTGACGTCTTGCCGTAGACCTTCCCACAACCCTCGATGTGACACACGTGCTGTTTCTTCTTGCCCGGCTCGCTGCTGTTCCTGACGAGGGACACCGTGGTGCGTGAACCCCAACACTGACATTCCAGCAGGGTTCCCCTTGGCTTCTAACCACTGAGAGGAGCCACATTTTGCGCATATTCCTGCACTTATAAGCTAGTGTCTCAGCACAGAGATTGGTGTTGTGAAGGCAGGTTTACTAGGGCAAATAGGTTAATGCTAAACCATATTCAAACCACCACTTAGAATAACATAATCAAGATCATACTGTAAACCCAAACACGTAGCTATAAATAATGTCGGAGGACTGAAATTGAAGATAGAGCCCATTTGTTAGAAAAGACAGATTCAGTGTTAAATTGCCCTGTCTGTAACTTAGCCTTCCTGCCACAGAAACCCTACAGATGTTTCAGAAGCTAAGGTAAACTAAGGTGAAGCTAAGGTGAAGCTAAGGTGAAGCTGGGTTGCACTTGCCTCCCCTCTCCATCCCGGCAGTTCGGGCACGAGCAAGCGACCCGTCGGAGCCTCTTGCTGGGCTGGCCCTCCTGATCCGAGATGCCCTGGTTCTGTTGCAGCTGCACTTGGGCTATCTGGTCGGGACTGACTCCGCTCAAGGCTGCATTAGTAAGGTTTCCCATGGTGACAGTCACTGGGGTAGGCTGCACTTTCACACCATCCTGACCTTGCTGTTGACCTGGAACGCAAAAGGCCAAAAATCACCTGTTGCATCTTAAAGTTCCACAACTACAACATCTCCCAGCCACGAAGAGGAAAATGATACCACAGTAGTCTCCTACACATGAAAGCTATGTCATTTTCAGTTTGTATCTACACATTGCCGCCATTTGTGCATGAGAACACAAAAGTGTCGTGTGTCCAATTGCCATGCAAGCTGTCCAAATTGTCACTTCAAACATGATACCAAAACCACTTAAAACTAACCATCTATTTCAATATACAGTATATAATACGATTTACAAGATTAATTGAGGCTCCATTTAAAATATGAAGCCTCCCTAAACAAAAAAGCTATCCAGCACTTGACATGTTGGCAAAATTGGTTTAATATGACTTTTATGGGTGGCAGCCACAAATGATTTAAATCATTAGCTGAAAATCAGCTAAAAACCTTAATTACCCCATTGTATACTGCCCCCCACCCCCCACACTGGAGCACTTGCACTTGGAAAAGTCACCTGTCCCCAAAACACAACACATTAAGGAAACACAATTGCATTAAAAACAATTGCATTTTGTGTTTTATAATTTTTTATTTTTTTCAGTAATGACCTGCGTTTATTTTTTATGTTCTTTAATTTTTGAATTTCCTTTTTTTCTGCATTTCTTAAGGTGGTGTGTTTTGAAGTTCAGCACTTCTGTAACAAACAGAAGCTTTAAAAGCACTCTTTGTTGCATGTTTGTGCAATATCGCACCTCCTAATAGCACCTAACCACAACCACTAAACAGCTGAAGGCGTGGCTGCGAAAGCAGCATCACACTAACTCTGAAAGCTGGGCACTTCCTCACAGGTTGAAGGGTTTGCATTTTATTAAAACAAGGAAATGTTTAAAGCTGTTTATCTGGGTCAGGGTTAGTATATATATATATATATATATATATATTATAATATATATTAGAACAAAAAATACAAAAAATGTTACTGATATTGTTTCAGTTCCCAATTCCCTCCCCAGGGGCACCTCAGCCATTCAATGTATTCAATAAATTTTATCTGAAGCTCATTTATTTAATTAATGTAATTAGTGTAAAAAGTCAGTGAGCCACTGATTATCCATATGAGGTGCTAGTAGTCGAGTCAATTGTGTATTGGACGGTTGCTGCAAATATTGGGATTAATTTAAGAGAGATGCTGAAACGGTTAAGATACACTTATACAAGAACAATATCAAAACTGAAGATTATTCAAACATCAGTTCCTTTGAATGCCAAAGCCTAAGCACAATACTGTCTGGTGTCTACTGCATTCTAACTGGTAAATCATGAGAACATGGGGTTAATATTGACTGAAAATACAGCTCCGGAGAAAATTAAGAGACCACTCCATATTTTTTAGGAATCTGCATTGTTCAATCCTGGTTTAATCCTGGTCCTGCTGGCAGAAGGCCGGAGGCTGCTTCCAGGCTCCGAATTACTTAGACCGCGGTACATGTGAACAATATAAAACAGGAGACACAGGAAATGACCAAAAACCAGCCAGGTAGAGGGCAGAAGCAACTATCTAATGCCAGAGATGTCAACCTATCTGACAGTTGCCTCATAATCGGAGGATGACCTCAAGTGACCTTCAAAAAGAATGGGAAACATTAAGTGGCGTGAAGTGCACTGCTAGTGTAATTAATAACAGGCCCCTAGAAGCCGGAAGAAGAAACAGAGAAAAACCAGGTTGGAATTTACAAATAAAATGTATATTTTACTAAACGTGTTGCTGCTGTTAATTTTTTCCAGAGCTGAACATTCAGAGATAAAGATGTTTCATTTTTCCATTTTTAGACTGAAAAAAAAGTCATAATTCCTGACTGGCATGACAAGCGTTGAGACGGCCTTCATGGTCCGGATGTGTACAGCATTAAAGACCTAATAATTCAACGTGATGCCATTCATTACTCAGTGAACAGCAGCAGTGGTAGCGTAAGGAAAACAAATGCATTCTGCAGGATTCAGCACAAGAAGAACCTGGAAACCCTGACAACTTTCTGAGGCTCGAGCATGTCATGCTCCCAAAGGCCTTCCTAAGACTGGTATAAATAACTTGCACCATAACAGAAACATATAAACTGCATGTACATTAAATAATAAGTTACTATGTCAAAAGACATGCATGAAATTATGCATCCTACCTATAAATACTGCATCTTCAAATAACTCAGGTAAAAGTAAACCAAATTTCTGACAGTTCTGACAGTGTAGTCTGTGGTGAATAAAACTTTACTTTCACTATGAATGACTTTGCATTATATTATATTTAAATATCAATTACAAAGAGCACGCGGAGCGGACATAAACGATAAACTTACCAGGCATGCCCGTAATCGTTACCGGGACTCCCTGAACTTGCACTCCAGCAGCTCCAAGATTAGCAATGTTCAAGGGGATGTTTGGCACAGAGGTAAGCTGCGCGGTGTTTAAGGTGATGGGCGCCCCGCCAAGGGTGAGTGGCGCAATCTGGGCAAACGCCGTACCACCCGTGTTGGTCGTCACTGGGGCCAGGGTCAGCTGCTGTGGCACGCTGGCATTCTGCATCTGAATATTGTGCAGGCCCTGCAGGTTCTGTACCTGCACCGTCTGCCAGCTTATTTGCCCCGAGGCAGTCAGGGTCGGCGCCCGGATGAACACCTGTGCCGGACTCTGCACGGCCTGCAGCTGGACGTTCTGCAAGGGCTGCTGCTGCAGTGCCTGTATGGTCTGCCCTGGCTGCAACTGTATCGCCTGCTGCTGAAGCCCCTGGAGGGGCTGGTGGATCTGGATCTGCTGCAGGACGGGCTGTCCCACAATCTGTACCTGCTGTATCTGGCCTGTCTGGTCCGGTAAAGGAGGCAGCCCATTTGTCTGGACTTGATTGAAGCTTGAGGTTTCACACTCAGATGCCTGCACATCCTGCGACTCTGCAGCGCTATCCGTAGCGGACGGTGTCAAGTTTAGCTGCCCTCCTTCGGTCAAGGTCCCAGCCAGGGAATCACCTCTGGATAAGCCTGCAGCAGAACTGGATGTGGTGGGGGATTCCACTACTGTGGAACCAGATGTAGATATAGGTATGGAAACCAGCTGGCTCCCGTTAGACATCCCAGTGTCGGCAGGCTGGACTAGTTGGACCGGCCCTCCTCCTGTGGCCACGTTGTTGATAACCGGCAAAGCCAGGGTAACCCCACCGATGTTAATCGGCAACGTGGTCATCAGTTGAGCTTGGGCACCCGGGATTGTCTGAAGCTGAAGAGGGAAAGAGACGCCCGGCCGAATTTGTAAAGGGATCATCTGGTTTTGCACATTCTGAGAAACAATGTTAGTTGAACCTGCCCGGTTCGTCGTGGCAATTATTGCCTGGTTACTTGCACCGGGAATGAGCTGAATCTGATCCGACTGCACGCTGAGGGCAGCGGCACTCACCGGATTTATCTGCATCTGGCCATCTACAGTCTGAATCTGCGGAATCACCTGATACTGGATGCTTCCTGAAGGATTGGACACGTTTTGCACCTGGATGACCTGCAGTTGCTGCTGCTGTCCGATGGTCGCATTATTCGGTCCGACTGGTTTAGCCTTCCGGGTCGAGGCGCCGTCATTGCTGTTATCGGTGACGGTCGCACCTGTCAGTCCAGACTGGGCACTATTATCTTTAGGTGCCGCCGCGACTATCTGCCACCCATTCCCCGCAATCGGAGAGGTGACCAACTCAAGTGGCTGAGGCTGGTTCTGAAACTGCACAAGTCCCTGGCTCGGGTCGATGATTATCTGCTGCTGGCTCGCTGCCTGGCCGTCACCGGGCACGCCGCCTATTTTGCTGCATGTGGCAGCAAGCAGCGCTAAGGGAGACGGCTGCGCGTCCTATCAAGGCAAGAGAAACAGAAAACAAATGTGGGCGGGCTTACAGGTTCAGGAGTGGGCGTGAATTAAATTTCTGTGCGAGAATGACAGGCTTCACTTTAAATAACTGGGTCATGGTATGATGAAAGGTATGTCACGTATAAGACTCGACCTGGATTAATATTCATATATTTATCAGAATAAGTCTCAGTGCTCTAGATAACTTGCATAGAGAACGCTGTTAAAAGTAATCGGTGACGTTTATTGAGGATATGGCAGCAGTTATTCTATATGCAATATAACACATGGACTTTGGGTATGACTCGCTCTTATCTGTAACAGGTTTCTAGTGTTAATAAAAGAAACTCCAGCCATTAATGCTTTATTTCTTCATTCTGGCCACAATCGTGCTAACATTATCGTTCGTAACATAAAAGCAGGAAGTGTTTCAGCTGCATGGGTGAAAGAAGTGCAATCTCTGGTACTCCGCGTTAACTACCTGTGATCCAGAAGTTTTGCCTTTATTACCATAATCACCACCAGATGCTTTCCCTCCCTCTGTCGCCATCGTTTCCTTCTTTTGATCTGGAAAAGAAATAATGTTTCATCTACAGTAATAGTTACAACATCTAACTGTCAAAGTCATAAAAGGGAAAAAATTGAAAACTTAGCCAGAAATCAATATTAGTCCTGGAATTATCGCTTAAAGACCAGCCAGCTGAGCAAAAATAGCCTAAGATTATACCAAGTGCCAAGCTAGCGCACCGAAAGGTGGTGTGTCTTTTGAGCCCCGCAAAAACCAACAAGTGCATCTAAAGAAATAAACTCAAGCACGGTTATATATGACAATAGTAAATTGTGGGTATGCAGAAAGATGGAGGGGTGGAGACGGATGGGAGGAGGGTAGCTAGATCGCTAACGTACCACTCATCCCGCATTAATGAGAAAAAAACGGAGAGGAGTTGTTCAAGAAAAAAAGGCCGGACGATATGGAAACAGAGGCTGGCTGAAGCCAGGAGAAGGACGGCCTATTTTTCCACGAATGGCTGCTGTCGGGCTGTGGCGTAGCTCCTTCGGCCGCTATAATCAGATTCCTCTTTCTGCCGAAGGTCCCTCCTGTCAGGAAGGGCGGTACCAAACACGGCGCAGTCAAACCCCGGAGTGATGCTGCCGAAAACTCTGCGCGACCCCGTCGCATCCCCGCCGGCGCGCGCCTCCTGCACGGTCCAGTTACTCGCGGCTAATCCTCGCACGCGAGCGTACTGCACGAGCGAATGTCATTTCAGTCAGCCACTGCCTTCGCGTGCTGACCCAGCTACGACAGCATCGCAGGCTCGTTTACGCATCGACACCCACTGAAAGGCCTGCTATAAGAAAAGAAAATAATAAAATGTCGACTTTACACGTATAATTTCTACGGTTACTGTCTCATCCGTACAATTAACGGCATGGACAACACACACCTCCGCGTACACATAGATGTCACTGAATTTAAAGTAATCTGTATGAAAACAGAAAAGCCCCTACAGTTGTGTCAGTCGGACGTCCCTCCCCCATATTCAGATTGGATAAAAGGGCGTTTTATCTGCGAACGTTGATATGGGAGTTGTATTTGGTGAGGTTTCGAATTCTGGATGAGCACGGACTACAAAGGACTGCTGTTCCCGTGATGCAACGCAAAGAGTGGGCGGAGATTGGCAGTCAAGTTAGGTTGAGAAGTAAAGAAAGGGCGGTATTTCTAATGTCCCGAGGGCTGGGCAAATGCGAAGGAAGGGAGCAGGGGGCGGTGTCTCTTTTTCGTTTTAAGTTCAGCCTTATCGCCGCGCGGTACTTTAGCGCGGAAAAAAAACCTTCTGGCTGTAATTATTTGCACATCAACTGTTATGATAACTGAAAGATTATACATGACCTTTAGTACCTTGTTTATTTGTCAAATGCAAGGTATGCGGTCAGACTATAATCTACAGTTAAACGAAAGGTTCATCCTACAACTTTTAGGAATAAAGAATATTTAAGAACAATTTTCCCCATACTTTTGTGGAATAATAACAGCTCAGTTACATTACTAAGGGAAATTATGGGATGAAATCCGAGTTTGTATGTATGACTTTAAAACTGCTAAGTTAGTAGACGTTAAGGAGTTTATTAATTTATTTTTAATATCCATAAATCTATTTTCTGTCACCGCTTGTCCTATTCAGGGTCACTGAGGGTCTGAAGTCTATGGGCACAAGGCCTGGACAACCAACCCATCATAGGGCACACAGACACCATTCACTCACACACACACACACAAACCATTCACTCACACACCATTCAAACACACACCATTCACACACACACCAGTCACTCACACACCATTCTCTCACACACCATTCACACACACACCATTCACACTCACACACCATTCACACACACACACCATTCACACACACACACCATTCACTCACACACCAT